TGTTATGGGGGGGGGGAGGTGGGGGTGGGGTGTCAATATTTGCCAAAAAATGTGTTACATAATACTTGAATGACCTCTTAAAACTGAGTCTTAGAGTAAATTAGTAGGCCTAGGCCTCAGAGTAATTGATTGAACTTGAATTGAAGAATGTTTTATGGTTTTTACTCCATTTCACAGAGAAACCAAGTTTGTCAATTAATTGAGAGTGAGAACAATCAAGGGAACGAAGTGACCGAGGGTTTTTTTTTTTTTTTGGGGTGGTGTTGGTGTGACCCTCCCACAATAGAAAATTGTTTTGTTTTTGGGTTTTAAATTGTTCAATTTGGTGCAGGCCCATACCTATAATACAATTTTACTTGCAGAATTCTAATATAGGCCTAGAGAGTAATACAAACTCAAAGAAATGAGATACATACATGACATTGTTTTTTGATTCAATATTTTGACATTTATTATTTCATCTTCAGGAATAAATTAAATTGCTAACCAATGGGAAAGAGTTAACCTTACTCATGTGAAGTTGATGAGTGGGCTTTGTTATAAGCCCAGGTGGCCTTTTCTGCAGATTTTAATACATCTTTAGGCTCCTCCTGTACCAATTTGATGGTCTGCAGAATACTTGACAACGTTCCCCTTGAATTTAAATTTGGGCGTAAAGCAATTTTGTTTTTGAGAACGATTGAAAAGGTTGCTCCTTGGGCATTAGAATGAGGTATTACAAATACCACTGCCACTTTACATAATTCTGATCATCGATTTTCTAATGAGATAGCTACCTGTGTTTTTGTTTTGGCCCCATAGACGACCAGCGTGAGAAAGTGATTGTTGAGCGGGTGAGCGTGAGAAGAGGCTATAATGCATGATTCTCACACGGTAGGCATGAGACTTGGTGGGTCTGATTTTATACTAGGCCTATGCCTAATGGCATGCCATATAATACTGTCATACTTGAACAAAAATAATATGTTTTTCAGGCACAATGGCAGATCCTAGTGGTGTGCAGAATCGATATGTGGAAACCTGTAAAGAACTTGAATTAAAACCTCACAAATTCATCTTGAAAGTACTGGATACTGAGCGACAAGAGCAAATTATGTAAGTTATAATTAGGCCCATTTCGTATAAATTTATTAAATGAATTAAACTTACTTTATAACGATAATTATAGTTGCCACAATTATTTATGGTTTCAATATTTTGTGAACTTTTTAATAATATGTTCAGATTTTTTCTCATATCAGTACCAGTGTTTTTTTTATATCATTAAGCATACTGTAATTTTAACAAACTGTTTAATTTCAGGAGAGCTAAAAGAAATGAGTAAGTAAACTCATGAATTATGCATGACATTTTGCTGAATCATGAATAATGCATGATCATCTAGAGAATACATTTAGTTCATAATCTTCATACCAATGTGTATGTTATTTACCATAATTTCTGTTGGCTTTTACATAATATTTAATATGAAAGAGCTTACTGTACACTGATAATAATATTATTGATATTATATTAATTGATGTATTAATATTAATATTAATTGTTAATTCTAATTTAAAATAAAATTATTAATATTGTTGTGTTATAGTTTATCATAATGAATCTCTTTATATTTTTGTCTCTATATGAATTATTAAAAACATACAGTTATAATAATGTTGTATTAAGCAATTAGTAGAGTTGCATGTCATATACTAGTGGAAATTATTATACGAAGTTAGATTAAAGCATTAAAAAAATTCCTGCACTAATGAAAATTTAGTACATGGTTTGGAATAGGAAAATAACATTGGGAGTTACAGTGATGATGTCATGATTGACTTATAATCCTAATTAGTGCATGTTTGCGAGTTAATGTAAATGTTTATAAAAACAATTTAAAAAATTATGAATTTAGTATAATTTTTATTTCTTGCTATGCATGAAATGCATGATCGTATTGAATTTTGTACTGAATGTGGATATCAATAATTAATTATATATTATTAATTAAATATTAATTATTATTAATTAAATATATATCATTCTCCTGATGACGGTCAGAGCAATCTTACCGAAACGTCGAGACAACCAACCAGTGGTTTTTACCTTAATAAAAACCATATTATTTATTTACACATGGTGTACCGAAAAAAAAAAAAAATTTGTTATATGTTTATTGATACTCGCCATGCAAACCTTCAAGAAATATTTTAATTATATATTACAATATAATTATAATTATATTAATTTATCCATCTCATACAGTAGCTTCTGTGTATTTCATTCAATTGTCATCAACAAGAAACTCAATATTTAACTTGGAAGCCATGTTCCATGACTATATATATCTCATTTAGGCTTTAAGCCATGTCTGCATTGGATTAATTTTGACCAAGACAAAGGGTAACTTTAACTTGGTCAAATCTTACCATAATTTGCACATTTGGATTAAAATGTCCAGTAGGTTTTACCAAGCGTTTGGCTGAGGCTAGACATTTTTTTTGCCTTGTTTAGCAAACCCTCACACTGCCAATAATGGTCATTTTTAATTACAATAAAATTAAAGTTTGGGCCAGTTAGCGCACCATTTGCCACAAAGAATATGCAAATTTCAGAGAAAAAAAAATATTTATTACGCATCCTCTCCCCTGAAATCTCCCAAACAAGGTATATAATATATAAATTTGAAGCTTTTATCAATCTCATTACTACACTGTTTACATTCATCAATAAAATTTTATTTTTATTTTCTCCTCTGCCCAAATGCCTTTGGCAACATCATTTGCTAAAATAAGAAAACAAAATTTTGATTTGGTTTTCCCCCCTTGATGATTTTAAAAAAAAAAAATTCACGAAACAAGCTAATTAAGAAGTGTTGGCTAAACAACGGATTTTGGATTTTGTGCATACGTGTTCAGTCTAATACTAGTGAGCTCTCGATTTGCGTGACGACGCGACGCTAGAACGAACTCAGTGAAATGTAGGTTTGGTCAAATTGCGTCCTAGAATCCAAGCGATGAGGAAAACTTAGGTTCTCGCAAGCAGAATCAAAAGCTTCCTATTATCGACATTTTGTGAAAAGTTCAGCGATGCAGAGGGTAGTAGCAGCACATGCTCAGGAACATTTGACCAAGTTTCACTGCTGGCATAGGCCTTGGTAAAAATGGCCTTGTTATTCTTCCTGGGCAATGTTCACTCAGTATAAACATTCCACTTGGCTTGGGTAATTGGACCAAGTAGAATATTACAAAGGCTGTTTGCACGGGATTTTTTTTGGCCAGAGTGATTGGGTACATGGTTGTTTTGACCAAGAATGTCCAATGTTAACATAGCTTTAGTCTGCCAAAGTCACCATAATTTATTGAAACTAAAATCACAAGTTTTAGTGCACATATGGTGACCTTTTATAAATGAATGAATGGATGAATGGATGGAGAAGTAAATGTCGAAAGGATTAAATGAATGAAGGAATAAATGCAAGAATGAATGAATGGATGGATGGAGAAATTGATTGATTGATTGGCTAGCTGACTGACTGACTGACTGACTGACTGACTGTCGGCTGTGTGTCTGTCTGATTGATTGATTTTGTAAATTCAAGAAAGTTTTAAATATTGCTGCATTTGATTCCAATAGCTTATGTTGAGTTTAACATGAGTATTTTAATATACTATCTGGAATTAATTGTTGTCAGATGGTCTATGTTACGGTCTGTCCACATGATGTTTTAAGTGACATATTGATTTACCCATATATGGGTATGATGATGTCATTAAGACCCATTTGTTTATCATGATTCATTGTTTTGGCACACAATAATTACAGTATGACACATATAACATATTAACAGGAACATAACAAATACTCTGTGCTAAGAATCCTTACATTTTGAGTAATTGTATAAAAAATAATCATCAGATTGGTTCATGGTATCTGGCATTACTTGGAAATGCATACTAAATATATTAATTACAGGTTAATTTTAGGGAGACCTGTATATCAAATAATGATATGACAGCAGATTTGAAAATGAGAACTTACAAACACCAGTTTATTATCAAAATTTAATTATTAATTATTTTAATTATAAATTATTCATTAGTTATTCATTATCAAAAATAATATCAAATCTAGAGATCCACAAGACAACATGGAACTCAAGTTGCCTGGCAACAACCTTTTCACAAATACCACTGGTAGGCTTCGTGATGAGGATGCCTTGGTTCTGTATAAATCACTCGCTAACAGTATGTACGTGACAGAAATTGACTTGCGGTACAACAATATGACAGATGAGGGCGCCAAATATATTGGAAAATTGATCGAGGTAAGTCTTTGAAGTACAGTCCAGTCAGCTTATTTTAAGCAATCCTTCGTCGTTGCTGGAATAATGGAAGGTCCATTTGTAAATACTTAAACCAGGCTGAAACAAATTACCTATTCTCTTTCAAGTGAGGACACCCCTTGAAAATAAAATGGATCAGTCAGCATTTGGCCATAACATCCCAGCAGCATTACACATCCTCATTCTTTTTTTGAAAGACAGGTGTGATAAAACTATATTTTTAATTTTAGGCCAAAACAATAATAGAGAGACTTTCTATTCTGAAACTTATTTGGTTATTTTATAGGAATCCTGTGCTCTTCAACAGCTGAACATTATGTGTAATGACATTGGTCCAGTGGGTGCTGAGTACATTGCTACCGGAGTCCAGGTACAAGTTGCTAAAGACTCATAATTTTGTATTAGCCATTACTATTACTATCTTCCATTATCATTTCTATCTACCAACATTTCCTCTGTTTCTTCTACTGTGTTACCTCTTCAGATGAACCACACATTGATCTCGCTGCGGTTGAATGGGAACAAGATTGGAAGCAAAGGAGGAATGTGTTTTGCCGGAGTACTCCAGGTAAACACCGTACTAGAGGAACTTGATCTAGGTGACACAGACCAGGTAAGAAAAAATATGTATAGAATATATTGCCTTGGTAACTTTACAGGTGTAAAATTAATGATATACCATCTATGATAACATTTTTAAAAAGCATTAAATATTTAATTTTTATAATGAATTGATTATTTAAAATTATCAGGTGAGTTCAAAAAAATGTTTTAGAAATTTTAGAATGTGTTTTAGTAAACAATTTATACAAAGCCACACATAATACAATTCATTGTATCTTTGCATACCATAGACCCTTAAGTTGGTTGGTGATTTTGTAGTAAAAGCTCTGTAAACTGGATTTCAGAGTCTCATTATTGGAGGTTGGTAACATATAGTAATACGAGATGTCATGACCTCTGTGAGCTTATTACATTAATACCTCAGTCATTTGATAAAAGTCCTAATAAGCCAATACTGTATGTAGTTTGAACTGCACATGCCCTTATCCAAGGTCAGTCAACATAAACCTATGTTGTGTGTATGTTTGTTTATATGGATTGACCTTGATATCGGCATGCGCAGTTTAAACTATGAATTAGCTTATTGCTGCTAAGTGGTCAGCACACTGATGTTTCAGCCAACCATGTACTCACTATACTCTGGGAGAGTTTTTCTTTCTCGTCGGAGTACTGGGGATGGGGCCCCATACTGACTTGGGATTTCTGCATTAATTAGTGACCCAATGTTATTATATTTACAGGATACTCAGAGTATGATAGCCATGGCAACTGTCCTAAAACAGAATTCCACACTGAGGGTGCTAAATATGAACCGCCCTCTATTGTTCAGTCAGCAAGAAGAGACTACAGTCCACTATTCTCTGATGCTAAAGGTCAACAATGCCCTGCAGGAACTTCATTTGCAGAAGTGTGACATCAAGGATTTTGGAGCAGAGCGCCTGGTTGATAATCTCATAGAAAATATTGGCCTGAAGTATTTGGACCTCAGCTGGTAAGAAAATGCTGTGTTTTCCATCTGTGGGAAAGTCACTTCCTGGGACTTCAATTTTGAAATTCCTTGATCCGCAACTGTATATTGTTCTCACTGAACAACAAGAGGACATGCATTCTGTTTGATTTGATAAAGTCTACAAGAAGCCCACTATCAGAGTCTGATCAGACAAATAGACAAAAATCATTTATAGTGTGTATGCCGTTAGACTGGGTTCCAGTCCCTAATATTGTCTTATCAGTAAAAACTATTAAAAATATATCTATTTTCGTAACAGTGGCGTTCCATAATTATTACTTATTTGCATGGCGTTACATACTATATTTTTTCTGGGTTTGAGATTAGGATTAAGTTCAACAACATAACAAGTTTCTCGACTAAACTGACGTTGGTGGCGCTCTCCGAAATTAGCTAATATAGTACTAGGAAAAATCAATAAAGTAGAGACTTGTGGCAAGTCTAGGCTATATGTGTACAACAATTTTATACCTGTACAATAATCTCAAATATATTAATTTACTTTTTCATAGCAATCGTATCACAAGAGATGGCGCTCTTGCAATTTCAAAATTATTGAAGCGCAACACTCCACTTGAGATACTTGATCTGGGATTCAATCGGATTGAAGATGATGGCGCTGTTTCAATCAGTGAGGCACTCATCGACCTCAACAGGACTCTAAAAACGTGAGTAAGAGTATTCATTGCTTATTCGTGCATATAGGAGCCTATACTTATTCTTAAGATCTATTAACACCCGTGGTTAATTCAGTGGGGATGGAGCCATCCCTCTCCCCCTATTTTTTTGAAATTTATTTTTTGAAATGGAGAAAAAAAAAATTCGCAAACTATATCTTTGTTTCAGCCTTGTCATCACAAGTAATAACATCAGAGCACCAGGTCTTGTTGCTATTGCCCGTAGCATGCACACCAACGACTGCCTGCAGAGTGTCTTTATCTGGGGTAACCATCTTGAGGAACCGGCCTGTGTGGTAAGGTCTTAGAATGCATAGATGAATTGATGGTGTGTTAACGATATGGGCATCTGTTTATAGAGATGTGATGGTAGTAATGATGTTAATAAGGTTGATGATGATGATGTGTAGGACTACTGAATAATGATTACCTTAGTGATGGTGAGGATGATGTTGATGGAGCAAGATGCAGTCTCGTATCTAGGAGTCTTGAAATGGGGGATGATGGGGCAGCATGAAGGAGGAGTCGGGGATTGATGAGCGGTGATATGATGTGACTTTTAACTACTTGAATGTGTTTTTTTTTTTCAGACATTTTCAGTGGGTTGGGTGGGGGAGAAACTGGTGTGGGTGCAATCTTTTTTGGGGGTGGTATGTTTCCTGTACAGCCACTAGATATATCACTGGCAAGATGATGATGAGATGATATTAATGATGGTGGTGAGGATAATACTTGTGAGGATAGTGATAATGATGACAATGATGATGATAATGATAATGATGTTGAGGATGATACTTATGGTTGTTTATGATTAATCATTATTGATATTTTACTATTTTTGTGTTATTAATCATATCATTCTAATGCTTATCGAAATTGGACATATCCGTCAGTGAATAGCGTTTGCTATATCATTTTGATAGGCATTCCATGAACTAATCAAATCCGAGAGACTGGAGGAAGAATATACAGATGTAAAGTCATATGTAGTTGATGGACATACATACTTATCAGAGTTGAACCATGGAATTCGACGGCATTACTACTGGTCACCGTCCTATGGCCCAGATGCAAGTTTGGCAATCTATTAATTGTTCACATTTCTGGTGCAGTTTCACATTAATGATAATAATATGTATGTATGTATGTATGTATGTATGTATGTATGTATGTATGTATGTATGTATGTATGTATGTATGTATGTATGTATGTATGTATGTATGTATGTATGTATGTATGTATGTATGTATGTATGTATGTATGTATGTATGTATGTATGTATGTATGTATGTATGTATGTATGTATGTATGTATGTATGTATGTATGTATGTATGTATGTATGTATGTATGTATGTATGTATGTATGTATGTATGTATGTATGTATGTATGTATGTATGTATGTATGTATGTATGTATGTATGTATGTATGTATGTATGTATGTATGTATGTATGTATACTACTCCTAACTAACTCATAGGGTGAAAAATCCTTTGTCTACATTTCGCCTTAATGTCGTTAAAATTTCCCCTTAGTGGCAGTATTTTCGCCTTAAGGTATTATTTCTAACCCTTTCCATTGTTAACGTTTCCCCCATGGTAGTATATATAATACGCAGGCCGTGTATGGGTGATACCATTATTTTCTTTTATGCTCGAGGGTAAGTTCAAGAGGGGTGTGAGGAATTGAATTTCCATGATCCTGACATTTTCATCCCAAATCTTAATCATCCCTTAGATTATTATGTACCCATTTCACTAAATTCTATAATCCATTCCTTAGTTTTTGCGTAATCCTGCTAACAGACAGACAGGAGTGAATATATAATTCTTGGCGGAGGTAAAAATGCAAACAACAGTGATATCTGCAGGATTCCTAGGTCTCATGGAGTGCCCATTGTCTAGGTCCAACAAACTGAGAATTTTTGTTTTAAAATATAAAGTTAGGCTTCTAATGTACTATTTATTACTTAAATTTTACCTGAATTGGGATTCTGACCAACCACTGTCTGTTCCAGTCTTTTTGTACAGTATAGCAATATCAGGTTTTTGACAAACTATAATATAATACCCTTGAACATAATATAAGCATAGAAATTTAATTGTAAATATTGTTTAAAGTAATAAATAAGACAGATGATAAAATTGCAGTTTGTTATCTTGAATCATTTCAACTCTTGTTCTTAAAATTTTGTTTACAGATTGAAAACCAAAATATATCATGCACATTTATTCACTATGAATAAACACTATTTTAATTATCAATTGAAGTTGTTTATTTTAAATATTAACATACCGGTACACAAGACCATGGAGGTAGTGAAGCCGTATTGATATACTCACAAATTCTCATACTAGTCGTTAGCATGGTATCGTAAATGCTTGAATAAGTGGCGCATCAATCCTGATTTTTTTTTTGCTGAATTTTCCAATTTCCCATAAGGGCCCCTTCAATTTTCGTCTACATTTCCATAAGCGCCACCTCAATTTCCACTCTGTTTTCATAAGCGCCCCGTTTGAATAAGCGTCCCTCAAACTAGTACGGTAGCCAATGGGCTAGTGAAATATACAGTAAACTAGCCCAGTGGGCTAGTCACCAAAGAAAGTTAAATCGAGCCCTGCCACCGTAGGTAGTACCTTGCCCGAGAGAGAACAACCAAAATTCACAGTGAGGGTCCAAACCACTCAAGGTTAAGAGGTACAGTACTAACTGGTTGAACATATATTCATGCCATATATGAATAGATGCTGACAGTACCAAAACATAATGCAAACAGACACATCTGATTTGTTTAATCAAATTTAGTGCAAAACTGCTCTTTATTGACATTTTAAACTTGAGTACTTATTCTAGCAGAAAGCATACTAGTAATTAAATTTCAGTGCTGCTTACCCTTTTGCACTCCATTTTATTTCCCAATACATTTTTATTATTGCATTCGCATTGGTTTTCCTAATTTACACACCCTCTTACTTAATGTAGTTTTTTTTTTTCATTAGGCCTACATAGTTCATTTTGGTTTGTCCTGCTTATTTTACCTTAATACATAACAATAACAATTGAAATTACAATTATATGTTTTCTATACATGCACACTCTTTCTGTATATATTGAATAGCTGGTGGAAGGAAAATTTCTAAATGTATATAAATGTAGGCAAAATAAAATATCTGTTTATCTTTTTATTTTATCGGGTTTTCCATTCCATACAAAATTGAACATTTTACTTTGTATATCATTAAAGAAGTAATTCGGTGGGTCGGGTAAATTTGAAAAAAGAAATGTTAAGATAGGCAGAACCAATGTTTTAATGATCGTGATTTTTCCAAATAGGGATAGGGATCTCTGCCTCCACATATTTAATATTCTATCGATATCCTTATATTTTTGTTGAAAATTTAAATTGAATATATTACCTAAATTACTCGAAACATTAATGCCAAGATATCGTATTTCCTCATTTGTCCATAATGTTTTTTTCCGATCGGAATTTTGAAATCAGAATCTCTCAATGAACCCAATCTCATTATTTTACTTTTTTCGTAATTTATCTTTAGACCAGAGGCTAAAGCAAACAAATCTAGAATGTCCATGATGGGTTTTATTGAGTTTGAATCTTTAATATAAAAAACTGGTGTCGTCAGCAAATTGATTTAATTTGATTTGTATGTTATTATAGGATATGCCTTCTACTTCGTCTGTTTGACGAACTGCGTTACCAAGGAACTCCGCACAATATCTATGTATTGTGTGCGAGTATACAATACTACATTTGCGGACAGTGGTTAGCAGTAACGATTCCTGGAACTGGATGCCATATTTTTGCAACCCACATATTTCATGGGATGGGGTGGGGAAACTTCCATAAGAAAAATGTGGGATAGAGCACACATTCTGGCCCAAACCTTTAAATTCACTGCTGATAATTAATTTTCAATATAATGTACAGTATCTCAAATTTACATCTTTCAGTAGGTTCACCATCTGGTATTGATTTTATTGATGAAACAAGTGCACAAAATTAAAACCTAGTTTCTTAGTAACTATCTGGTTTCAAACTTCACAATTAATATCATAGTCATGCCTCAATTAACATGAACATATTGTACTGCAATATAATACTGTATGCTGTTAGTAATTATCGCCCCAAACAACATACCAAGAACATAATCACCCCATGTACATAATACACAATAATTCTTCCTATTTTAATGCACCGTGCTGTTATCATTGTGGTGACATTACATCAATTAACCGATTTCAGTACTGTACTACTATATTAACATTAATAATCATTGATGATTATTATTAAATCATTAATTATTACTACATGAAGATTAAATTACTAAAAACTAAATTAGAAAGAAATACCAGAGGAAATATTACTGAACTGTACGAAATCTAAATTCTTGACTTTAACAAATAAAGAGATATTTATATAAAAGAATGGAAGAATCAAAATTAAAAGATCTTTAAGAAAAGCTTTATAAAAATCTTATGTTGTTAGGAAAAAATCCTTCACAAGTAATAGCCAAACATGGAGCAGATACCACCACACGTGGAGGATAGGATTAATCTTCCACTCAATACATTTAGTTAGGAGGAACTTAAGATCTTGAAACTGTTATAAAATTTCTGTAAGCACCAACCAAAATTCAATAAGATATATAAAATAAATTCAAAATTAATCTTTATGAAAGTGTTACTCTATCAAGTGACTCACTAACTGCAGGACGGAAGTGGTGCTCTATAACCTAATACCAGATGTACACTTTCAAAATAGAGGGGGGGGGGGGGGTGTTGACCCAGAGGGAATTTTACAATGCAGGGTCCAGACTACCTCAGCTCAACAATGGTTGGGGATGAGGTACGAAAGATGACCGGAAATGGCACTCTCAGATTTATGTATTGTATATTTCTTTCCACTATTTCATTTTACATTTCCAAAAATTTAAGGAAGACTTCCCCCCACACCCCCAACTTGTTATTTATTCATCACTGTACAACTTCCGGCATGGGGAAAAACATGATTTGTCTGATAATGTAAAAGTCTAATCAAATTATTGAGATGATTATGATTATAAAAATTCATCAGGATTATTTATCGTTCATGATATCAAATGTTCCTTAAAGAAAATCCAATGGTAAACACTTACTTTATCTAGCGACGTTTCGCTTCCACAGTGGAAGCTTTCTCAAGCCGGTATGTCAGTTGACGTTGTGTTTGAAGTTGTTATTGAGAATTAATGAATGGAGTTCCTGGTTTTTCACATGACATGACCCAAGCCCATAGAACCCTTGAACTGGGGGTGAAACCACCAATCTACAATTCTATTTAAGTCTTCAATTGCTCTATATATCATATTTACTCATATTTTTTACGTGAAATTATCGCCATATCAATTAAAAATTATAACACACACTTTGTTAGTTATTAAAATTGAATTTTGCTTTTGTAATTCAGAAAGATTTCTGCCGGTAATAATTAATCAGTTAATCCGTCTATTATAAAATGAGATCAGCAGCATTCATCTTCATCTCAAAATTCACAATTCAATGACTGATTATCAGCTCATGATTTCAAATTTTTTATAAAAGTTCTTTCACATATTCTAAATTCAGTCAACCGAATCATCGCTCTGATTAGAATCGCTATGGTGATCATTCAATAGCGGAAAACTTTCGCCACTCGCCATGTGACCATTATTTGATACAACACCATTCTGAGATGGTGCAGTGGCACCTTGTAAAATCTTACTTGGGCTGATTGAGCTGTCAAACGAGCCACTTAAAGACCGAGCAATCTTCACTTGGCCATCGGTTACCGTTTGCAATGGTGTTTCCACTTGGGATGGTGATAACTGTGTCGACTCATCCAGTGATCCAGCCCTCTCGCTGATTTGTTCGGCTTCAATGTCTTGACTATCAACATGATTTGTGGAATCATCTGGCGTCTTGTTCGCTGCTGGTAATGTAGCAGTCAATGCCAACGTGGTCTCTGTTGTCGCATCATCACCGCCTGTTTTACTAGCAGCCATCTGCCAAGCTGGGATTGGGCTTGGTTTAGGTGTACGTGGAAATTGGTTTCTGAAATATATAAAATTTGTTATAATAAACTAATTATTTACATTTTACTTATTTTTAATTATAGTCTATTTATCTATACTTCTATTTTATTTATATACTTTAATTTTTTATTTATATTTATTTATTTATTTTTAAAACCATATTATAGAGGGTGACCCTTTCAGCATATCCTAGAAGATAGGCTGATATTCATATTAAATTAAATTAAATACAGTAACATGTTTTATCAGCGATGTCTCTTTAGGAGACTTAGGGAGTGGAGTGGTTTTTAGTCATGAGAAATTCCTGCCTGTCACAGGAATTGAACCCAGGACCCTGGCATTAGAAGGCAAGCACCTTAACCACCAAGGTATACAACTCCACTCCATATATTGTTCATTTACATTTGTAACATTTAAATTTTCTTCATTTTACTTACATTTATAGAATACTTTCATATTGTATATTTAAATTTATATTTATTTCACTTTTTATATTATATTTATTAATATTTAATACATTGTTGAAAAAATTTTATTTATTTTAGTTATATTAGATTACAGTATAACAATAACAATATTTTTGTCACAATTTTAACCAACGGTGGTCTATTCAGCAAATCTGATCATGTGGTAGCAAAATTTTAAAATGTAACTTAAATTTATTATCTTGTTTTAATTTTACAAGGTTATATTTTATATCAACATAAAAAAAGGTGCACAAAGTTGTTGATTCAGAAAATAAATATTATTAAAAAAATTAAAGTTAATTGCCCCACCTGCTTAGCAACAGTCCTTTAAGTGAAACAAGTTCGCTCTTTATCTCGCTAGTGTCGATGCTTTTGACGGTGGCCGCCATTGATTTATTGCGTGCGACATCCAACGTCAGCTGATCCAGTTTCTGTTCCTGATTATTCAGTGTCGTTTTTAAACCACCGACAATCTTCTGAACTTCACTGACTGTTGAGACAAACAAAAGGAAATACAGTATTATACAATTTTTTGATGAAGGTTGGCTAGGAAAAATCAAGAAACCCATTTTTTGAGTTTTTTTTTTTTTTTAAATCAGTAATTGTTATATTATAAGATCCTGAAATAGAATAAGTTGCCCTCTGAAAATCAAAACTATTAAATGTAGTTTTTGTCTGTAGTATTTATTATTATTATGTGTAGACTTTTTGACGATATTTTTCAATAATTCCATTTACTTATATTTGACAAAAATGCCTTCCTGAAAACTACCAACAAATAACTCAACTTTACATAGTTTAAATTATACAAATCAGAAGTGATGTTTGTAGTCTACGAGTGAGATACTTGGATTAATTCCCACTTGCCTCCTTCCATGCGCGTTTCCAGAATATTGCAAAGTACCCGTTCAAAGTCAAGATATTCATGAAATTTAGCCGAGTTTAATATTTTAACCATTTTAATCTTCAGTATCACTGTGATTATTATGAAACAAAATACAAATTAGTTATAATTTTTACCGGTTTCCGTCACACTTGCTTTGAGTTGTTGAATGGCTTCCTCCATTGCTGTCAGGGCTTCAACCTCTTCTCTTCTCCTCCTCAACAATGGAGCTATGACATTCTACAGAATAATAAACACGGTGCCATTTTCTAAATTTGCTTAATCTGCAACCTACCAATGGTGGATCCCAAATCCCAGGTGCAACCTTCCTTGCAACTTCAAATAACTCAGGGATGTACAGTAGTCGTGGCGAGTTAGGCCATCCTGCCTTGAAGTTTTCCACCCAGTTTAAAGCTAATTTCAGGCTAATTTCAAGCTCATTTCCCCTCAACCCAGCCTTTATTAACTGCCTTGCCCATCCTTAAAAATCCACACGTATTATTTAGAGTTTACCAATGTTAACACCCACCCTCATCTGACTCCAGACCACGCCCCCCCCCCACCATGCAGTAAGCAGTTGTATTTTCTTTGTAAATCACAATATATTCCCCTTCTCTTTTCCTCTCAATGTAATTTATTCCATACACACTACCTGATAGAACTTGTAAATACAGAATGCAACACTTCCAACTACGACAGCGAGGGTGGTATAGCCACGCCATCCTTGAGGGCGGTAATGAGCTACAGAAAGAAAGATATGGGATGAAAGTATGAATGCATTAATACCAACTTATCATGAATATATGCATTCAATTATTAATATTAAAGCCCCATTCCCGGCAAAATTTCACTAAAAACTGACTTTTTTTAGAAAATATGCATTTGCATTACTCCAATTATTATAAATCATGGAAAAATATTGGCATGAATTTTAGTTTTACGCAAAAGAATAAAAAAAATGAGAAATACAGCTGTCTCTTATACACATCTAGATGTGTATAAGAGACAGGTTATAGAGTAATGATTTTTTAAATAACATGATGTCAAAAAATCCGCTGTCTCTTATACAGGAGTCCGGGGAAAAAATCGGACTGTGTAGATGTGAACGCTTCTATTCTTTACCACTAAAGCCATTTCTCACGATTTTTTCTCCGGACTCCGGACCGGAATCCGGGCTTGATGTGAACGTAGCTTTAACCTGGGCAAAAAACACACACAAAAAAAAAACCAATAAGATTAAATAATAGGATTGAACAACTCATCAGCTTCTAAAATTTTATTATTCATTATTACCGATTTGTTGAGTGGCTGGCTGCGGTGGTGCTATTGGGTTTGGGTGAGCGGCAACAAGCTGATTACTGGTGTTGACCCCTGACCTCTCAAGTGCGAGTTCAATCTCCTTTTCCGTTAGTCCCTTTTTTATCAAAAAAGCTTTGCGAGCTGTGACCGCACTTGACTGTACCTGAGGATTCTGGAGAAATTTGACAGCAGTTTCGATCTAAAAATAAGAAAATTAAATTATTATTGCTTTTACATTCATTCAACAGTAATGGACTTGATGGTAAATAAGTGATGGATATTATATCAGCTAGTAGTTATTAATATATAAATACATTAATAACTGCTATATCAAGTTATTAATTTTATAATATTACATGTACTTTATTATTATTTATTGATTATTAAAAAGACTTCCTCACACTACACTCACATTAGTCCCAGACTGTATAGTAAGGGGAATGTGCCCTACGCGCAAAAATTTGGCATAGAAATCTGTCCGCACAGATTTCTGTGCAGATTTTGCCAAAAATTAGGCATAGACCAAATCATAATATATAACCAATGCCATTTATGCAGCAATTATAATTCCGCGAACATATTTTCCTAGCGATTTCCACCCAAATGTGAGCTGATATTTTAGTTATCCTCCACGCAACTTTACAGTATGGAATTAGTCCTACAGCAAGTTCTGTAACCCTCTATCCTTTGAAGCAGCATCTTAAATACAATTGCTGAGAGTTCTCTCTTTCTCTTTCACTTTATTGATAAAAAAAAAAAAACACTCAAAGGTATTACAAATGGTGGCCCAATGGGCCAAATTGCTTGTAATATTACAAAAGTTATGGGCAAGAAAGCGGCAAAAACATTAAAATATTTAAAAAAGAAGATACAAGAAATACATAAAAAAAAAAAAAATTAATTAAAAAAAAAAAAAAAATATATAAATATAGAAAAAAAATAATTATTTTATTATTATAATTATTATTATAATTATTATAATTATTATTATAATTATTATTAATATTATTTGGACCGAAAATCTGTAGCACCAATCGGGAAGGAGGGTGGCACACTCAAATCATATTGTTATGTGCATTTAGCTGTGAGAAACCCAAAATGAAAATAATACAGCAATTTGGCTTTGCCAGAAAATCATTTACCAAGTTCTGCCTCGGTAGACTTGATGTATCAGCACCAGGGAGTGGCGAGCTTTCCACCACTGGAACAGGTGACTGCAAAGATAAAAATTTTTTTTATTAATATTAATATAATATAAACCTACTTTAAGTTCCTTCAAGAGTAAATCAGAGTAAATTATATTATCACAACCTTTTGAAAAACAACTGTTTTTTTATATTGATAATGCTAACAATTAAAAGTATCGTGAAGAATCGAATGAACAAATGAATGAATGAATGACACCGTGTAATTATTCACTCACTGAATCAATTTAGTAGGCATATCATAGAATAGGCTATGCGGGAAAAATATTTTATTTTTTATTGAGCAAAATATTTAATGTTTAATATATTTACTGAACAAAAACTTTTACCAATTCTAATAATATATAGCTTAATCACTAAACAAAATGCCTAAACTTAACTCCAGTGTGTCCACATAAACAAACGGACTCTTTACAATGTACACATGCTCTTTCATTCATAGTTTCCAGGCGTTTGGACTCTAGGTAGAGAGGTGCACAACATCAGACATTTAACTAGGGACGGGTTGTCCCTCTAGGCTAGCCTAGGCATATTTAGGCCTAGGCCCATAGCTAGACTCACAAAATGTTCCAGTTATATTTACCAGTTCCTTTACATCTGATGACATAGTGGCGAACTACCAAAAAAGTTTACACAGCGATACCAAAACAATTTAATTTCATAATATTTTCAACATCATTTTTCCTCTATTTTCATCACGACATAGAATATTCCGCCCTCTAACGTTTGTTTACTTCATAAAAAAATAAAAAATAAACATGCAACCGTATTATTGCACCTTTTTTATTCTTATTACAAAAAAAAAAATTCATTTAAATATATCAAAGTTTCAGCATTTTATTATCATTTATTTACATTTACCCATAATATTTTTTTTATTCTTTAAGAAATTTTGTATTTGACATCAGTGTTGACATTTTTGATATTCCTAACATAAACAATGGCTGACAACCAAAACTTTGAAAGTGACGGAGGAGTCGAAGTCGAAGTACACGTTCATGAACCAAATAAAATGGAAAAATCCAGTAGTGTTCAAATGTTTCAACATCCCATAATTGATCACAGAAGATGTCGATATCCATATTGCATAGTATGGACACCAATTCCTTTACTGACGTAAGTATGAAGCCTCTTTAGGCTAGGCCCTAGGCCTAGCCTGAATTTAGTGAGCGCAAGGTGGATGCTAACTAACTAACTAGGCCTATGCGGCGGCCGCCTATGCCTAGGCCGGTGCCTAGGCTAGGTTGGTGAGGGGTGAGTGAATAATGGTTGACTAGGCCTTGACATGGAATGCTATCAGTCTTGGAATATAGGCCCTACTACTAGAGTAAAACTTACTGAATTATTTTTTTATGATAGGCTAGGCTAGGCCTAGCTAACTAGCTAGGCCTAGTAAGCCTAGCCTAGCCTCCTAGGCCTATACTATAGGCTATACCTATTATTTCTATTAAAATGTATTTTCTATCAAATTGGTTTGATGATGCGATCAAAGAGGAAAATGTGAACTACGTCAACAGTATTTTCAGGTCATAATAGGGAAAAAAATAAAACAACCTCTGCAGCCAAAATAATAGAGGGCTGTGCAGACAATGGAGTTTCGGGCAGAAATGATAGTGGTGCCATGATATCGCGCTCTCACGGTACGGTACAGACAGTCAGACAGATTTATTCACAGCCGTGGATATTGTTATTCCGACGATTTTACGTAAATCTGATGTATTGATTGGTGGATCTGACCCTAAGCTTAAACTTCAGTCTCGCTATTTTAATTACTGCACTACAGCATGTTGGAGGAATAGCCATAGTATTTATTAATCACTGCTTTTCATTTATTTTGATGAGTACTCAAAGAACAGCTAAAAAACGAAGAAAAAAAAACTAAAGAAATACAAACCTGTTTAATTTTATTCTGTCTTTCATGCACAGGTGGCTGTTCCCTTTCATTGGGCACATGGGTATTGCAACGTCAGCAGGGGTCATCCGTGACTTTGCAGGGCCCTACTTTGTATCAGTAAGTTTTTTGGGTTCCACTGTCAAACATTCATTTGTCATTTTTATGAAGATTAAATATTCTCTAAAAATGACAAATGAATGTTTGACAGGTTCAACTGTCAAACATTCATTTGTCATTTTTAGAGAATATTTAATCTTCATAAACTACTGTACTGTATATGGTCATGTCACATGTTTTTGTCATCTGGACAAAGCTTAAAAGTCTTTTCAGACTATTCTATTGAATCTGACAGACAAAAACCTGATAATTAATTATGCGTGACTTTAAAGTAATTCATTTCCTTGATTAGAGCCCTGTCCAGACTATCAAATTTTATTTGACAAAAACAAGTGACATGCCTAAATATGGTCATGGTGACATTACATCATGACCATATATAGGCACATCATGACTATATATGGGCATACAACAATTTGTATTTGACAGTCTGGACAGGACTTAAAGTATTATGTGTACAATTTTTTAAACGGATTGTTATTGTTGTCTTTGATAGGAGGATAACATGGCATTTGGGAGACCAACACGTTATTTGATACTTAAACCACGTATGGATAAACCGGGAATATGGGATCAATCTGTCTTTGATGCATCAGAAGAGTACAAGACACGAATGGTAAATATGATTATTAATAAAATATTTCTGGTTACGGTATGTTTAAAAGGCTCTTGTCAATGCAGCTACAATATATATATATAAAATATCAATACCACTAACGTTTGGCGCAGCGGTTTAGGCTTGGAATCTCAACTTCATGGTCAATGGTTCTTCAAGCCCTTGCTGAGCAAGTTGCTTGTGTCCTTGGGCAAGACACTTCTTCTGTGTTTGTTTGTCTCTCTCTACCTATGCACATGCATGTGAGAAGGAGTGGCTATCCTCTCAAAGCCTTGCACAGTCTGGCCACAATGCTTATGAAAGAGGGATGGGAACTCCAGACCTGTACATGTCCAACTACCGTTACCAATTTTGTTTTCCATCTTTGATCCAGATGTTAGTTAGGTACAGTAATACGTTTATGTTTTTTAACAAACTTTGACAGGTAACTGCACATTTGATAATTTTTGGAATAGATACATTATATTATTATTAGACTTTTCAACCCATTACTTAACAATGGACTGAAAGCATCCAAAGAACTATCATTGTTTACCTAGTTCTCACTTCCAGTTGTTTATTTCATCACATCATTAAGCTTGCTTATTGA